TTTTTTTTTATAATTACGTATTATATTATGTAAGCTTGTAGATACCCAAAGTTAAAAGAACTAATAATACCTAATTAATTTTAAAAATATAAGATACCTATTATAATGTTATTGAATATTATTTTTTGAAGTCGGGATTTCCATCAAGTACATATAATAGTATAATATCGAATGATATTATTTAATTAAGCAAAATTTAGATTAATTTAAACAGTATTCTTTTTCATTTTCATGGCATATTAAAATGTAATAATATTGAACAAAATATTTTTTGCATTATTGGCATGGTTTTTCGTAATATTATCTCGCGTATTGACTCTTAATAATGACTGGTGTTTTATAAAGTTTATAAAAGTTTATTCATTTTGACATTATTATGTAATAATACGGTTCGTTAATACATACTGCATCTGATCCATTTAAGKTCGGTTGGTTTCTTTTAGTTTTACTAGACTTGCTGTTTTTCCTTTTAGGGCTTTGGGTACCGCCAGAAGACGAACCTCTAGCCATTAGAACGAAATAACGAATTCAACGATGAAAAAAATAAATATTAAAAAAACGTTTGAAAATCATCAAAGCCGGCTGAAATCAGTGCGTGTGTGACTGAAACGATATCATACTCGATGTACCATCGTCGTTTTCACAATTATTATGGATTAACGCGTTTGTTAGACGATTATTATACTCGTAATAATATTAAATCAACTCGAAGGAACGCCGATCTTTAATGGCGCGATGAWTATCACTGGGATTTATTCATAGTATTTATTCACAGTTTRCTCACTGAATAGTTCATCATTTTGATGTGTATATAATTTACTATCTGCCTATTATTATATCATAGACCATCGATGTGTGTCGGATTCACATGTTTTCTCTGATCGATAACAATTTATAATGATTATATTATTGTTTTATTTTATGRAATTGTGTGTGATGAGATAACAGACGGTTTTTATACACTAACGAGCTTGTTTTCTTCCGAGCCTTATTATAATATTTACATAGGTAGTACATAGGTATATGTATTCATTTTTTATCAATATTATCACCCATTTTAAATATTTGTTCTACATAATAATTATGTTCAACCATATATTTATTACCATAATATACTATATTGATTATCGTGTTATTATTAATTATTAGATATTATTATATAATTTTCATTTGGGATCTGTAATTAATATTATTCTATAATGGAGGGATTCACTTTGAATGGATTTTTTTGTTGTATGATACATGATATATTTACGTATAATAATCACTTGATTAATTGAAAAAAAAAACATTATTCGACAATAACTTGTTTTCACTATTTTCGTCATTACTATTTACCTATGTATTTATATTTACTATATACCAATATTTACTCAAGTATTTATTATTATTACATACATTTTAGTTCTAAACTACGTTTTTTGGTACAATTTAAGTCAAAAATACGAATGATAGATTAATGATTAAAAGTTCCTTTCAAAATAAAATTATTTTTAAGTGTGTTGTAATAAATCGTTTCTTAAGATTTTGTTTTCATTATTAAATTGCAATGTATTATAATTTTTAATTCAATTATAGAAATAATCAGTGTCATTGTAAAGTGAATTATTAATTTTCTTAAATATATCATACAGATGTATATAAAATGTTAGTTTTAGTAGGTAATGTTATTGATAACCACTGTACTTATATATTATATTTTATAATATTGAACTAAAAAATCAAAATTTTAAATTAAAATATAGAACATTAAAAATTCAACAAACTTATTCAATTATAAACAAAAAATGAGTTAAAATTTGTTTTTAATATAAAAGTTTTCTATTATATTAATCATATCCGTGTATAAATAATTTAGTATATAATAAAAAAAAA